CGCTAGGGATCCGGGACTGCCTCCTCCAACTGTCCTGGTTAGCCCCTAGGCTCTCTCTCGTTCTCCGCAGCAATTGTAAATTGTCTTCGGACATGAAGTGACTGGTCTGAAATAGCAGAACCTTAGAGGAATCACAGTATGTGAACTCGTTTCAAGCAGGGCTTCAGGATGTGAGTTTGTTCCCGAGGGTCTTGGCGACCTGTGGTGGAGCAGAAATAGAGAAGAAAATATCCACCCGAGGATTTGATATACTCAGTGGTTTGTGTTCTTCTGGATGACCGCAAGGATTGAGAACGGGGGAACCATTTTACGGAGGTTCTTTTCCGTTTCCTTCGCAGCAAAATATTCACAGGGAGATTTGTGAGGTGTACTACTCCACGCAAAGAAGAGCAACCACGCTCCAGACCTTCCGCACAGCCCTCAGAATCTGGCTATCCCGTCAGGCCTGGGGCTAAAGACTGTAACCCACCCGAATGGTATGAATGTTGTGTTTTTTTTAATGATGTACTGTCCTACGTGTTAAATGTTTGTTTCCCCCCCCCTTTTTTTTGAGTTGTAAGCCGCCCTGAGTCCCCCCAGGGAAAAGGGCGGCATATAAATAAACTTCTCAATCTCAATCTCAATGTCACCCCTAGCCCTTCTTTTCCCTAAACTAGGCATACCCAATTCCTGAAGCTGTTCTTCATGTTTTTTACCTCCCCCACCCCCAATCATCTTTTTTTACTCTTCTCTGCACTTTTTCCAGAGTATCTGCATCTTTTTTATATTGTGGTGGCCAAATGGATGGTCTTATCAAGACCTTATTATACATTTAATCCTTGACTTACAATATAGGTCACTTAGTGACTCTTCAACATTACAACAGCACAACAGAAGAGAACAGAGTAAACTATTCTCAAGTGAATGTAGAACTTTACGTGTTCAATTTGCTAATGCAGGAAGATGCTATGAATAGAGTGGAATGGAATAGAATAGAATATTCTCAAATGAATGTAGATCTTTAGGTGTTAAATTTGCTAATGCAGGAATATGCAATGCATAGAATGGAATGGAATAGAATAGAACAGAATAGAATAGTATTTTTAATTGGCTAAGTGTGATTGGACACACAAGGAATTTATCCTTGCTGCATATGCTCTCAGTGTACATAAAAAGACAAGATACATTCTTGCTTACATACAATTTTGCATTGCATACAAGATACATGCAATGCATACATCTGAAAGCATAATTTTGTCACCTAAGGGCTAGATTGTTCAGCCCCTAGCCATATAAAGAAGGCTAATTTCACATACATCTGTGGTTGTGAGCTTACAATTTCACGGTTCAGAGTTTTGAAATGCTTCATAATGAGATTGAGGTTTGAGTTAGCAGCATTTTGGCAATTGTGTCTGATAGCGATTATGTAGTAATGCTGTTTGAGTGGCTGAGGAAATGAAGGAACTATACAAAGCAGTGTGTTGCTCAAGCTTGGGAACTTTAAGATGTGGACCTCAGTTCCCAGGATGGCTGACTGGGGAATTCTGGGAGTTGAAATCCATTACCTTAACCTTCTCAACAGGGGTGGGTTTCTTGCCCCGTTCCAACCGGTGGCGTCCTTGTGCACGCGCGCAGTGCACGCATGCGTACTAGCATCTGTGCGATGCTCCAGCTGCTCCTGGAGGATCGCGCAGGTGCTGTATGTGTCCTGCTCATGCGTGGAAGCGCCACCCTTTCCCTCATTCTCCCGCCCCATCCCTCTCTCCTTTCCCT